AATCATTCATTAACATTTTGAAATTGTTAATACGACCCCACGAACTACTCAAGCCGCGGGCCCCATGACTGGACAAGCCATGAGGTTCCATGACTAAACAAGCTATGGATTCCATGGACAAGACAAGCCATGGATTCCATAAACTAAACAAGCCATGGTTTTCAAAACCTTTTTCTTTCGTAAACCAATCCTTTTCTTTAAAACATTTTCAATGCCGAAATCCTTTTTGAAAACAGGCTTACAAGGAAAAGGGATAGAAATCCTACCTCGCACTATCAAACCTGGGACTAACGTTGCCTTTTTGGGCTTCCGCTTCCTCAAGCCCCTTCAGTCTGAATCCTCAGCGATCACTGATGCAAGACAACACTTTAGGATTAATTCTCATTCCTAAAGCAATCCAAATCTCAATTTTCAACCAAGATTTCTTATTAGTGTGCCCTAATCCATTTTCATGTTTCAAATTATCATTCCAAGGGTTTTCAGTCTCAAATCAAGGATTGACAATGCTAATCCATCTATCTCAAGTCCCCAAATAAAGCTAATTTGGGTTCTCCCCGAAAACATGGGTCAAAACAGCAATTTCAGGCTAAACAGGGTCAAACCCCGTGTCAACCGGTCGATCGGTGACAGAGCAGTGCAACACTACCGGTCAACCGGCAGTGTGCACCCCGGTCGACCGGACAGCCTACAATCCGGTCGACCGGATAGGTCGACCGGGTTCCATGTGATCCGGTCGACCGCACTGGTCGACTGGTGGAATCAGCTGCGCGAGAGAAGCTTGCAGAAATCAATCCAAAAACCTGCAAATCCAGTCCCAAATCGAAATATTTCAAAGGAAAACCACTAGATCTGGGTTCTAGGTCCTAAAACAAGTCTAAAGAACCCAAGATCTCCAATTTCTACTTTAGTTTTACTCAAAAACCATCAAAATCCGGTTTAAACCAAAAATAAGTTTTGAAATCCAAAAACTTGAGATTCAAGAGAGGTTCTTTCAGTAATCTTACCTCGAATCCTTCTTTTGACGTTAAAAACACTTTGAAACTCGTCTTTGGCTCAAAATCCGTTTGATTTGGGGCACAAAACGGGAGTGAGAGAGAAAAAGAGTGAACGTGAGAGTGAGAGTGAAGGAGAGAGAGAGAGTGCACGGGAAAGGAAAGAGAAAGGAAAGGAAAAAGGGAAAAGGAAAAGAAAAGAAAAGGAAAGAAAAGGACATGTGTACAGTATTTTAAACAACAGTCCAGAAATGCGCCCATACACACTTCTGGTTTAAAATAAATTACTGAGAATAATTTAAATACCTTGGAACTATTTAAACTCACACGTGTCAGAAACATTTATTAATTAAATTTAATTAATAATCCAGATTAGGCACACTAATAATCTTAATTACCTTAATTAATCTCAATTAATTCGTCAGGGTGTTACACACACATGTGGAGGAGTCCACATGGTGTACACGCCCAGCACAGTGTGAATCATTCTGGGATTCAGTTGCTTACTCTCTAAGTTATCCAATTGACTTATTTGATAAGTTGTCCAATTAAAATTAATTTACGTTTGATTTAAATTGAAATTTGAATTTGAGTCAAAATTAGACTGCAGGATAAATGCATAATTTTACCCTATTCCTTAGCTACTATATACGCCTACCACAGGGAGGACTCTGGGATGGCCGGCCAAGAGGATAAAGGAAGGGATTTTGCTACAAAAATCAAATTAGAAGTGTGAGATAATTATCAACCTTTATCTTGGAGATAAAGATTAGACTTCTTCTGAGAGTGTGACTACTACTCTATAAATAGGAGATTGTAGAAAATTGGAGAACACAATTTTTGCTTTCCCTAGCATAGGTGGCTGAATTTTATAGAGGAAAGGAAAAAATTTCTCCCAAATTTCACGTCACACATGTATTGGTGTTCGTTGAAAACTTGAGTACTTATTTGCTAATCCTGTTTTGTTTCAGGTGTGTCCACACACATGTCTGGAACGTTTGTGGTCAAAGAACTCAAGTTATCGACCTAATTGTTTGTTAGGAAATAAATTGATTTGATTAATTTGTTTGTGCATAAATTAATGTAATCTATAGAGTATCTCAAATTTTTATAAAATTTTTTGTTATACACAATCCGTTTTATACATGCTTCCGCATTGAAAATCGTTTTCAAAACTCATACTAACCATGCACACTGTGAGCAATCAAGGACGTGCTGATGATCGTGATGGTGGGAGATCGTGACTTGGGGCATGAAGATTATGTTCATGACTAGAGTATGTGAGGCAATCCTACGGCCAATCTTGTACCGGAGTTGAATTAGAGATCTGACCCAGAACTATCGTAGACGCTTCTGCATATGTACCCGGTAATGTTGTTTTCCTTAAAGTTTTATATGGTTTTGAGATTTGATTAGTTATTTTTAGAGCTTGCATTTTCTTTTGAAACCTCTTGCATTTTCTTTTGAAACATTAGTTTGTTTTTCTGAGATATTAATGTTATGTTGACCAATTTTATATTTAATTTGATGTAATTTATTTTAGTGTTAATAATATCTCAATATTTTTTTTCTTATTAGGTAAATAGATAAAGTATAGGGCAAGCTTCCCTCATGGGATTCCCCGACCCAACCTTGAGTACACGGGTATGAGGGAAGCATACCCCTCCCTGTTCCGCCGGATGCTCATTCTTAATCATTAGTGATATTCAACTAGAAATAATAGAATTATAAAAAGTGTTCGAAAGGTGAATATCTACACCAATAAATAATTTTATTTACAACCGAACCGTGCTGGATAGTCACCAGGGTTGATAATTACAAAATTAGATAAAAGGCCGAGGCAAGAAAGAGGAAAAAATACAATGCAAGGACAAAGTAACAATGATAGTTAAAGTTAACACGTGTTTAAACATGTTTGTAGCCTCGTTTAAGGAACGAAACATATCTCAAAACCGGGCCAATTTTATTTAAGGAATTGGAAAACGATTGTAACATATATACTTAACATATATTTTTTAGAAATATAATCAAACACAATATCACTTTTTATGCTAGAGTTTTTTCTTTTATAATCAAAATAATCAAATGTATTTTCAAAGTAAATCAAATGCAGTTTCAGCATAAGACTCGGAACCGTTTGTAAAACATACTCTTTTTTTTTTTTTTTTTTTTTCATTTTCATAACAAAAGGAAAATCATTTTGAGAACGAAAAGAGAAAAATAATTAATTTATTGTGGATTTGTGCAGACGGATCATTTGTGATTTTAAATAATTAAGTATTATCACGGCTCTTTATTTTTTTATTAATTAAATAATAATTATTTATTTTAAATAGAGTCACTCAAATAATATTTTTTAGATTTTTAGTCGTATTTCTAGTTCCTCGCCTTTTGAAAAGGCTTATTTCAATGGGGAAGTTTTTAGAACCCACAATGGCAATAACAGAGAGAAAAGTCTATTACTTGTATTGCACTTAAAGTACATGAATTTGTTTTCGAGATAATCCAAGAAATAGAAAAATAGTTGGAGTCCTCGGCTAAGCTGACGATCTTCAAAAGAGAAGGAAAAAGAAAAAAATGTTTTCGCTAACTTGTAGTAAGCTTACGATCTTCACCATAGCTGGAGTAATTATCCAAATGATTGGGCTTTCAGTCTTCGTCTTCAGCTTCTTCCCGGTCAAACCAGCCCTCTCTGGTTTCAGGTACAAAATACTGTTTCCGATTTCGATGCTCTGTTCTTGTATTTTTCTGCATTTTTATCTGGACCAAAACGTGCATTGCATTCGAGATTGTTCATTAATTTCGATTCGAAGCCTTTGATATGTTTGATTGTTTGATTTTATCTTCAATGGTAATGTCAGTGGTCTGGAGAGTTTTCGCGCTCCGAGTTTCGATCTGATTCAAAATCATAGCGCCAAAAACCTCCCTCCTGATGAGCTCAGATCGCTGTATCGGGTACTTGTTCAATCAATTCTCGAAATCGAAGAACAACTATAAAAGAATTAATCAAGAGTCATTTCGACTTGCTTCTAAATTTCTGTGGCATCTGTATTGATATTTTCTATGTAATGTAGGAATTATCTGGGGTTCCTCCTTCATTTGACAGACTAATACTAATGGTAAGTATATGTTCTTTATTCATCAATATTTATTGCTCTATGTCAATCTTATTCTTTGTAAAATATGTTTCCCAAAAACTTCAGCTTAGTGATGCTTGATATATTATTTGTTAGTGATTGATATATGAGATTTCTTCAGTTTTCATTTACAACCATGTTAGTTTAGGTTATTGATGGTCTTCCGGCAGAGCTTGTGCTTGGAAAGGATGGTAAGCCGCCCCGTGCGGAGTTAGTGGAAGCTATGCCTTATACTCAGTCGCTGTTGGCGAGTGGATTGGCAATTGGGTTTCATGCAAAGGCTGCGCCGCCTACTGTTACCATGCCTCGATTGAAGGTGGGTCTTGTAACTATAAGTCACCCATCCATGAGATCTAACATTTTTTTTTGAAAGCCTGCTTATCCACTATCCAGTAACCTTTCTGTTATATGGTTGCAGGCAATGGTTTCTGGGGCAATTGGGGGATTTCTGGATGTGGCTTTCAATTTTAACACGCAAGCTCTGTTAGATGACAATCTTCTGTGTTAGTTGATCCAACTATGCTGGAGATATTGAAGAGTTTTTTCTTCTTTTTTTTAGGTCTTTAATTGCGGTTGATTTGTTTATTTCTTTTTCACGCAGACCAGTTTTTTAAGGTTGGTTGGAAAATGGTGATGCTCGGTGATGAAACGTGGCTAAAGTTGTTTCCAGAATTATTTATAAGGAGTGATGGAGTTGGCAGCTTTTTTGTAAGTATTTCTGTCGCTGACATGACATTTTATGGCGGGTATAATCTTCATATGAATACATTGTCAAATGTGTTGTGTAATTATTGTGCAAATTATGTTACGTCGCTCATATATGTGGTTTAACTGTGTGATCTATTTAGGTCATCGCCATTTCCGGGCTATTGCTTTTCATTTGTACGATAGGCTGACATGCATATCAAATTCTTCTGCTACAGGTTAAAGATACGGTGCAAGTAGATCAAAATGTGTCTCGACATTTGCCGGATGAGCTTAGTAGATATGATTGGGATCTCCTGGTTAGTCTGGCTTTAAATATATGTTTTTCTGTGACCTAATCTACCTTGTTTTTCGGTACTTAGCATGTTACAATTTTGTTACAAAAATAAATAAATAAGATTATTGTTTATCTGTGTATATACGTTAGAAAACTTTTAGGTTCTCCGAACAGACCAAACTATTTAAAATTCTTTAGCAGTAGATTTCCATGGTGAAGCCAAACATTTCAACCTATACAACAAACACTAAGCACCCTAAAGTTCTTATAAAAATTATGTTTTTGACTGAATTTATGGTTCAGATTCTTCATTACCTAGGCTTGGATCATGTTGGACACATTGGTGGGCGCAACAGGTATTGCTTTACCAAGTTTCAGTATAATCCTTATTTTACAGATTCCTTGGCTTCTTTTTAGAGTTTCATTTATTTTTTGGTTGAACTATGTCAGTATCTTGATGGCCCCAAAACTTAAGGAGATGGATGAGGTGGTCAAGATGATTCATACAAGTAGAATCCTGAATCAAATGAATAACCATGGAAAGACACTTTTGGTTTGTGATATTGATATCTTCTTTTTTCCCTTTGTATTTTCTTTTCTGTATAAGTTCTGCATACTTGAATCAAAATTGCAATTGTACATGACTAATAATAACCACTTATAAAATAATGAAGAGCCGCTAAAATTTCATCGACAGTTAAAGACTTGGCCTGAGTAATAAAAAAAGGTCAAGGGAATTATCTAGACCAAAGATTCTCTACCTCTTGCCTAGAAAGACAGAGCTGAGAATAAGACAAATAAAATCCCCAGACTCAACGCTGAGCGCAGTAGACATGGTTAGGCATTTCTATATAGAACCTTCCCATATGCTGGTTATATTTTTTTCCAACATTGTAGCGTATGTTTAGATCACACCCCCTTTGTTTTATGGTTTGACAGAAGTCATTAAATAACTCAAATTCAATGTGTCTCTGATATAAGTCTCTTATGCAGGTAGTGGTAAGTGACCATGGCATGACTGATAATGGTAATCATGGAGGATCTTCCTATGAAGAGACCGATTCCTTAGCTTTGTTTATTGGCCTGGAAAATGATGTCTCTGCTTATGCATCGTACTCCACCCAAAACACTGTATACCAGGTAATTGACACTTAGAACCTTATGTTTTTTGGTTTTTTATTTTTTGTGTTATTTTTATTTTTATTTTATTTTTTGAAAAGGAGATTCTTATGCTTATTCATCGTTTAAGTTGTAATGGCCTGTTATTTGCATTATAGTTTCCCCATGCCAAGAAGATGCAAGTGTCCTTGTACGATAATAACTTGAAATGTTATTTTCTCATTCAGTTAATTAAAATGAGACAACAGAAAGCCCTGCTAATCTTGACGCACAGGACAATGCGGTAATTTATTATTAAGTTTAAGCAGGCGACGAAATGAACTAAATAATGGATTCGAACAAGCTAATTCAGATTCAATCTTACAAATTCCTACTGCTTCGATACAGTTTTGAAGTACTAACTGGATACTGCGGCATTTAATTTCATCGGACAAAATATGCACCTCTCTTTTATTTATTTTTTTTCTAGCAGATAATTCCAAATTGTTTGTGACCTCGACCTCCTATTCACTTCTCTTGTTCGATTTGTGTCTCCCAGATTGACATCGCATCCACATTAGCTCTCCTTTTTGGTGTGCCAATTCCAAAAAACAATGTTGGTGTCCTGATTTCAGAAATTTTTAAGCATTTGGCAGGTTGTTTCTCTCTCTCATGTGTTGACTTTCAGTATAATGAATTTGGTGCAGTTTATACACTATAGTGGTTTACTTGTTTTTGGCTTAGCAACATATTTTACCTCAAATTAACATTGTCATAAATTCGACTTCAACATGTATTTTACTTTGGTCTATAAATTCATTATGAATTAGTTATTAGGTCATATCGTGTTTTGTGGTGGACTGTAACACACGAGTCATTGTTTGTCAGTGTCTTATATTTTTCATTTTCTTTTTTATTTTTCTTGTTATATCTTCATTTGAAAACTTTAGTTGCTTTGTTTTATGTGTTTCTTTTGAATTATCAATACTGCATGTGTTTATTTCTAATTGAACTCTTAAATGAAGAGTATTGCTAAAATTTTTTAAAATGTTGTATCTTCTCGTCAAATCCAGCATGGTAGTAAACAGTTTACCTTGTGAGGATCTTAATGTTTTCCCCTGCTGCTTGCAAATACAGATGACCAAAAACTAAGGGCTCTGGAGCTGAATTCGTGGCAATTATTTAGACTACTACAAGCACAATTACCCGGTTTATCATGTGATGAAGGCTCTGAGATAAGGAAGTGCAATGGTAGCTTGACGACAATGTTTTGTTGCTTATATATGAATGCTGCATTTCTTCATAATTCTTGGATGTCTAAGGATGTATCCAGGTGGGTATGTGACACCATTTATTATGATAAGCATCACACATGATTCTAAGAGAGGCGGCACTAATACCAGTGTTGCTTCGTTAACCATGGTAAATAGGTTTAATCATGGGGAGGAGTACAACACTGCAGTTGGAGCATACAGTGAGTTTTTAGGAGTTGCAAGTGAGTGTTTATCACGCAGAGTCACTGATGTATGTTCTTTTCCAATGTTCAGGTTTTCTGAAAGTATTTTCAATTCAAATATGAAAAGTGACAGCTGTAGGTTGATGGAACAAAGGAAACTTATCATCATTCCTACATGAAGTTCTCTGTTTTTTGATCCATTTGTGGTTGTCCCCTTACAATGATAATTTTGTGGTTGTGTAGAAACCTGTCAATTTGCTTGCTTTTGGAGTTGCTGCAATGCTTATCTCATGTCTAATATTGCTGAGCCTTTTCTATTTAATATGCAAAGAACTTCGCGAGAGAGAGAGGATATCTCTTTCCAACTTTGAGAATAGTACCATGCATACGTGGCATTTAGACGAGGCCTTTACATTTGGTGTCGTTCTTATGCTTGTCATAAGTATGGGATCAAGTTCTATGGTTGAGGAAGAGCAGTACATATGGCATTTTGTTACTTCCACATTGATTTTGTTATTTCTGCGCAAGGCAATACAGTCTCTTAAAGTTGGAAGAGCGTCGAGTTTGTTTAGCTTGGTCAAGGGACAAAACAGAGCAAGTTGTTTTCAAATAACTTCCTTGGTTTTGATTCTTATTTCTGGAAGGATCTTGAGAGGCTGGCATCAAGGAGGCGTGAATTGGACTAATCTTCCTGACATATCTAAGTGGCTTGAGCAAGCTGGGGGTGAATATATAAAAGCAGTTCAGCTAGTCACAGGCATCCTAGTGATGACCTTAAGCTTAATTTCTCTATCTGCATTGGATACTAATAAAAAACTTGTTAAAGTGATTGGATTTTGCTTTTTGACTCCTGGATTGTTGGTTTTGCACCGTGTTATGAAACATCAGAGTAGCATATTAGGACCATCCAGTTATAACGATACGGTGTTGATCCAAATGATCTATATGGTTCTGGGTTTCACCGCACTCGGTACTGTTGTGGCCTTACCATGGTTATCATCTCTATTGGCTTCAAAAACATGCCCATATTATAACTTTGACACGACAACTTCTGATCCCAAACTTCAAAATACGTCTCAACTGGTAGAACTAACAAATTCATTATTTGTGATTGGGTGGGCGTACATATGCTATTGGTCTCTTCTGCAATTGGTACTCCAGCAACCAATTAATTCGATGCCTATATTACTGCTCCTTGTGCAAGTTTTACTGAGCATGCGATACTCTTTTTACAGTGGGCCACATCACAAGCAGTGGGTTGAGGTTAGTCACAAAATCATCTTATTTTGGGTAGATAATGTCCTCTTTTTCTACAAGACAATTTGCTTTAGGCCAGAAGGCCGATCAATAAAGACGTTTGGTGGTTGTGTAGAATAATAAGTTGCTCACACTTAAGTGAAAAAGTGAAATTATCACTGTAAGGTGGATTTTTATTTTTTTATTTTCTTTAAAAGGGTGGATTTTTATTTTGGTTACTAATGTTGTGCTGTGTGTTCGGTCTTAGGTTGCTGCAGTCTACTATATGGGGATGGCAGGGCATTATGCTCTAGGGAACAGCAATTCTTTAGCCACCATTGATGTTGCTGGAGCTTATATAGTATGTCCTCTTTCACGGTGGCTTACATTATCATTTCTCTTTTATTTGTATTGTTTTAAGAGGAAAGAAACTAGTTTTAAATGGTGATATGCGCCGTGGTCGTGTTTTAAGAAGTTTCGGTTATCTAACTTTTGTAGCATTATTTTACTCTTAGGGCATCACAAGTCATTCAACAGTACTATCTGGGGTTTTGATGTTCATTATAACGTATGCCTCCCCAATGGTTGCCATTCTTAGTATGGTGATGTACATTTCTGTTAAGAGCAGCAACTATCTTGTTCTTACCTTGAGTGTGGATTCAGGAGAACTCAAACGAATGCTTGGCTTTCCTTGTCTGATTCCACTGTGCTTGAACTCCATTTTGTTGACAGCCTATACCATCGTATTGATACTAATGAGAAACCACCTCTTCGTCTGGAGTGTTTTTTCTCCAAAGTAAGTTCTATATACGTAGTACATTTACATGTCAGTTTTAAAGCCCGCTTCTTATTTGTTTAATTGATGGTCGTAACACCAGTTTTTTTTTTAACCCGATTTTCGGAAGCAAAAGGCCTTGGACTTCATTGTGCCAAATCAGCTAGAACAAATTAAAGGAAATCTAGCATAACAAATAATGGCACGGTTAGAAAGTATTGTAGCTTATTTATTTCCTTGTCTAGGAATCTCATAGCAACAACAACGTATATCATGATTATCATCATTTCTAGCCTCTAGGGCCCTCAAGATTTAGATTTCTCACCAAACATTGGGAACCAAATGGACATATGTGTACGTATATCTCATCTGCTGCATGGTAATGGCTTTTATTACTTTATATTCCTTTTTTCTTTTTAATGGAAGTATTACTTTATGTTCCTGATTGCGAGCAAAACCTTTCTTTGGTGACCGATCGGAGGAAATAAATTCTATCCAGTGATGGTGCATCTGTGATTGATTTTGGAATTATTTTCCGTATTTTCTTCACTTGTGTTGGAGCTTTATACTGTGGAGTTTATTTCAGGTATCTTTATGCATGTGCCACAACTGTTTGCGTCTATACCGGTGTCTCTGTTGTGGCTGCAACTGTGTCTTATGCGTACTGGGTGGTGGTGTCTCGGAGAACACAGAGTCCTCCGCCGTCATCTCCTCCACCGTCATCTATGATAAAAAGATAAAACTCTGATGCAAAGAAACAGAATTCCAATTTTATAGAAGAAAACGCTCGGATTGTTTGATTGTTTTGTGAAAAGATCGTGTACGGAAAGGTAGCCGTAGAGGAAAAATTAAAAAAGGAAACGCATGTGTGGAGTTCCGCTTAATGAATTTGATGTTGTAAATTGATATATATTTTGATTATTTATTTATATATTTATTAATTTATTTGTTCCCGATTTGATAAGAACCATGTATGCCATGAAAATGAATCAGCGATGTGTGAAATGTAATTATCATGGAAGAAGCACGAAGTATAGAGTCGGAGAATAAGTAACCATGCAAATGGGAAATGGCTGCATAAAGTGACGATTACTTGATAATATTTGATAAATGATTTTGCATGTATATGCCATCTAGGACACGGAATAAACATAAATGAGAAAACATCAATTGAATTGTCACCGTGCGCATGGGGCAGAAGAGGAAAACAATAAATATCCACGACAGAAGACAACTAGATTGTGAGAAATATTGAGATACGTGGTGGATTGGAGGGAGTTTCCTAATTAGCCCATGTTAATGGGTCAGGATCCCATGGAAAGAAGGATCTTGCCCGTTTATGGAAGAATGGACACCAATTTAAATTTTAATTTTTGTGTATCAATTAATGTGGTATGTGCCTTGGACAACAACTAAGTATATATGGTCAAGGCCTCACTTGGACAACAAACGGAGGCAACAAGAGAGAGAGAATTCAATTTATCCAAAACAAAAGAAAATATGACTAATTTAGTTCATAGGTTTAAATATAAAATTTGAGTAAAAATTCAAATTTTATAAGAAAAAACACTACATAAAAAGGTTTGAAGTGTTGTTTAATCTTTTGCCAAACAAAGATTTAGAAAAAGCAACCTTTGTAATAGATAGATAAATTTTTCTTTTTCTGGTTCTGTTTCCCACCTCAACTCACCACCAATCTATGTGGAATTATTTGCATTCATATTCACCACTAAGCTAGCAGCTCATACACGCTGTTATAGAGGAATTATTCAGTAGATTAAGTGTACTATGCCGTTATATTTATGTAGTACACCCGTCTAATAAAAAATTAACATTTGAATAGTTTATCTGTATTAATTTATTTAATTATATTTCTCGTTCCTAGTGTGTTTCACATTAATACTATGCCGTTATATTTATGTAGTACATCCGTCTAATAAAAAATTAACATTTGAATAGTTTATATGTATTAATTTATTTAATTATATTTCTCGTTCCTAGTGTGTTTCACATTAATGGTTTAGTCGAGATCAACATAAATACTCAATCAATAACTCTTATTTACTTCAAAATCATCTTAACTACTCTATCAATATCTCTTATATTAATTTACATCAAATAATATTGTTCTAATGTAGTAACTCTTATTTACTTAAAAATCATCTTAACTACTCTATCAATATCTCTTATATTAATTAACATCAAATAATATTGTTCTAATGTTTCAAGTAAATATTCTATACATTTAAGCAAATTTACGAAAGTTAAACCGCATAGTGTTTCCAGAATTGTAGAGTTCTGCACAAATTAGAACTAGGCAAGCATCTCATTTAAAACGTTCTCTTTAAAAAAAGGAGGAAGAAGAAGACTAGCGTGAGTTCCGTCAAGGAATTGAGTCGTAATCATCGTTCTTTTTTATTACAATGCATTCCAAATTAATTGAATTGTCCGATAGAATAGGCTTTTCTTCCCTTTTTTTTTTTTTTTTTTTTTTTTTTTTTTTTTTTTTTTTTTTTTTTTTTTTTGTCTTCTTATGTGTTCGTTTGTTGTTTCTCCTTCATTCATATATCTATACATATATATAAGTTTCAAAAAGTACTGTTCATAAACAGTACTTTCAACCAAAGCTATAAGTTTTGGTTGAAACGCATAGCTTTCATTTTTTTTTTCTCTTTTTTTTAGAAATTTTTCTGGTGTTCTTTCTTTTAGGAACATCAGTGTTCCATATTTATTAGTTGTTGGGTTTATATTATTTTTTTAATTTGATTTGACTTTTGACTAGACTTAATACAGATCTGAATAAACATGGAACACCAATATTCTCAAAAAAAAAAAAACTATATTTATTAGTTGTTGGATTTATATTACTTTTTTAATTTGATTTGAATTTTGACTAGACTTAATACAGATCTGAATAAACATGGAACACTAATATTCTCAAAAAAAAAAAACCAAATAATTCATTTTTTTTTTTCTTTTTTCTTTTTGCTTTTGGACTTTTTACAATTTACCCTAAAATTAATTAATTTATTCATTTTACTATTTTTTTTCTTAAAATTTATTTTTATTTCGTTTTGGTTCCTTTTGCTCTAAAATTTATTTATTTTTTCATTTGTCATTTTTTTCATTTTTACACTGAGACTTTATTTGTTGTTATATTTTTTTTCCCTAAAACTTCTTTATTTCCTCATTTTAGTCTTTTTTACCCTTTTTTTATTTTAGTCTTGAAATTTTATTTTTTCGTTTTGGTTTCTTTTACCCTAAAACTATTTAATTTCTTTGTTTTAGTCTTTTTTGTTTTTTTTTTTTTATTTTTACTCTGAAACTTTATCTTTTTTCATTTTACCCTAAAGCTTATTTATTATTTTCATTTTAGTCCTTTTGTGACCTATTTTAATTTTTCCTGAAATTTTATTTTTTTTGTTTTGGTTCTATCATTTTTTTCATTCTAGTCCTTTTGACATTTTATTTTTTGTTTTTTTGCCTAAATTTCTTTTATTTTCATTTTGGTTTCTTATGCCTTAAAACTTATTTATTTTCCCATTGTGAGCCTTTTTTTGTTTTTTACCATTTTTCTTTGCTTCTTGCCCTAAAACTTTTTTTTTCAAATTCTTTTTTTTTTGGCTTCTTACCTAAAACTTGTTTTTTCTTCATTTTAGTCTTTTTTTTAACTCTTTTTTTCATTTTTGTTTTGAATTTTTTTTTCCGTTTTGGTTCTTTTTATCCTAAAACTCATTTATTTATTCATTCATTCCTTTTTTACCACTTTTATTTTTTCCCTAAAACTTTATTTTTTTCATTTTGGTTCCTTTTACCCTAAAACTTATATATTTATTCATTTTGGTCTGTTTTTTACCCTTTTTTTTTAATTTTGCCCTTGAACTTTTTTTTTTCCAGGTTTCTTTTACTCTAAAACTTATTTATTTCTTTATTTGAGTCATTTTTTGACTTGCTTTGGACTTCTTACCCTAAAACTTTATTTTTCTCATTTTGGTTCCTCTTTGGGATTGTATATTTGAATTTTATATGCTTTTTAATAATAATACAGTAATTAAAACTTAATATAAAGACATCTTACGTGCATGCATCGCATGTGCAGTTCAACTATTATAAATAACAAACTCAATGTTGATTGATACAAAGGCACCTCAATTCCTCGAGTCTTTGTGTTGTTTATATTGTCAATAATAGAGATGGAATTCCTTGGGGGAGCTTGATTATGGAAATACAACTACAGCTATGACGACTTTGTTTAACTTTCTTAAATTAATTTTAATGTATAAATATTTTGTATGAAAAATTTAACAACTAGTATAAAATTAATCTTAATTAGTATAAGATATATAGGTACAATATTTATACTTATCTTAACTAAACAATTAATATAAAACACACACTAGGAAAGTGAATTATAATTAAACAAAATTGACATAAACAAATTATTCAAATGTTAATTTTCTATTGAAATGATGTACTATATAAACATGATGATGTGGTACACTCGGTGCACAAAATAATTCCTCACAGCTAGAAATGTTACTCAAACTTACTCAAAACAAATCACAAAATAAAAATTTACAAAAGCAGAAAATTGTCTTAACATAAAATAATACAGTCCTTACATAAAAACCTTAATATCATAAAACAAAACCTAATAGGGAAATCTAGAAAAATGCATGTGAGCATAAAGATTTATGCCTTTTTTGAAATTCTAAATCCTTAGGTATATAAATAGGATAGATAAGCTAGCAGGTAATGATGATCTATTAGTTTTTTTTTTTTTTTTTTTTTTTTTTTGCCCTTTCTTTTTTTTTCGACCAATTAAATTCAAACAATTATTCTTAATACTATGGTGGAGATGACCCTTTGGAAATGGTAACTAGTTTTACAGATAAATGTTAATATTATTCTTTTTGTAACTCTGTTTGTCACTTTCTACGTTCACTGTCTGACTGAAAAATTTTAGAGAGAAAGAATTGCTGATATTAAATACTGATATTAAAAGTCACAACGCAAACAAAACGTCTATATTTATAACAAAACTTAAAATTGTTGTGCATTATTATTTATTTACGCATTTTGATGCGTTGCCCCGCTTAATCTGTTAGAGGGAATGTGGACAGCCACCTCAAGCCGTCATATTGGCATGTTTAGTTCGCTGATTCGAGTTGAGATATGATTTTATGCGAGAGCTTTTTACTGTAGCAAAAAAATTAGACGTGATTGTTTGTGAAAACTTTTTACTGTAGCAAAACTCAAATTCTAAACTCGAATTAGCGAAATGAACGGGACACTCATCAGTTGCTATTTTTGACTTTTACAACAAAACAACTTATATAAAGTATGTAAATAATATAGTCCAAATACCTACCGAAGAAAAACAAACATTAGATATTACAAGAAAAAGAAAATTATTTTAAACTTTCTACCTGTTTCCTTATAAATTATAGATACATCAAATATAATTATAATTTTTTGTGCACATATTTTAATATCTATTTTATGTCTATGTTTCTGCTGTAAAAAGTAGTACAACATATCTCTTATCTCACACTTATAGAACTCAACCTTTATTCTTATATTCACGTTCAGTATTTTATGAGCAGTATATTGTTAGTAATTGGCACATGCCTCTGGCACGTGCCACCACCACTAGTTTTAGAAAAAGAATAAAATAAAAATAACCATTTTTCACAATAATTTTGTGGGATATTTACCTTTTTATACCTTATATTTTGAGTTTATTCAAAAACTATACATTCAGTTTTTAATCTTATCAAATGCATACCTTCAAATTAGATTTAATATCTAAATTCATACTTTTTCACAGTCAACTCTTGATTTTAACCTTAAAAATATCTAGAATACCCCTGAATAAAAAATAGAAAAAGAAAAAAAAAACCTAAAAAACTTTAAATTTACGGTTCTGACCACAAAAATGCAAAATACCATTGAAACAATTTTTTTTGTGCCATTAATTTTTAATTTTGTTGGAATATTGGAAAGCTTTAGTGTTTTTTTTATTTTTCTTAAGGATAGTTTAGTCATTTTAAAGGTCAAAATTTGATATAAGATATAGACTTGTATATTAAATTTAATTTAAAAGTTTATATTTGATGAGATTAAAAACTGAAAGTATAATTTTTTAATAAACCTAAAACATGAGATATCAAAATATAAATATCCCCAATTTTGTTGATAACGTTCTAAAAGTCTCCAAAAGTATGTTTACTTTTCATTTTGGGAATTTCTTGTTTTTTTTCTTTTTCTGGAAAAGAATTTTCTTTTTTTTTTCTCTTTAATAATTCTGATTTTGAGATTTGATGTGTCTTAGAATCATAATATGTAAATAATTTGTGCCACGACTTATATGTCGTCGCTTTGGCCGAGTGGTTAAGGCGTGTGCCTGCTAAGTACATGGGGTTTCCCCGCGAGAGTTCGAATCTCTCAGGCGACGACAAAATTTTATTTATATTTTTTACTATATGTTTTAAGTTTATTTAAAAAACATACTTTTATTTTTTTATCTCATTAAATATATATCATTAAATTACAATTAATAGATAAATTCATACATTATCCCGGTCAACACTCAATTTTGATCGTCATAATCCCCAAAATACCCTTAAAAAATACTCTAGAAATAGAGGGGAAAAAAAACGTAGAACAAAAAAAGGATTTGTTTTTTAAATGAAACTAAAAAGAAATTGAATTAAATCCTAACCACTAACATTACATCAGATTACCCACCATCACCTCCATTGTATTTGCCCACTCTGCAACTCAACATCAGCTACCCACCTCCATTCACAGTGTCCCAGCCACAGACCAAACTTGTGTGCCCCCAATTCAGAACCAAAGAACAAAAAGGAAACAAAAACTCTAAAACCAAACAAAAAAAGGAAATGAATGGTACGAAATCAAAGAATCAAAAACCCATAGAAAAAAGTTGAGGAAAAAAAAAAACGAAAATGGTGAATCAAATATTGATTATATTCCCATTCACCAGAGAGAGATCTACAAGATGGGATAAGGAGCTAGGTAGAATCGAAGGAGTTGGAGGAGTGGATAGGAGCGTGCCAGGCTCGGGTTCAGGAGGATGGACTCGTCGTTGCCCATCATGGCCGGTTTGGGGGTATTTGTCGCAGATCTTGGCGGGGTACGGGATGACCGATGCAGATTATGGGCGGTGACTGGGTGAGATCGGCTTGGTGGTTGACAGTGGGGGCGATTAAGGGTGGGCTCGTCATGGTGGTTGACAGTGAGGGTGGGTTCACCATTGGCGGTGACAATGGAGAAGAGTTGGGCGAGGTAGCAGTGAGGGTGGGCGGCGGCATAGTTAGGTGAGGTAAGGGTTAAGTTTACTGTTAAAGTTTATTTTTCTTTGTTTTTTTTTTTTTTTTCAATTTTTAGAGTATTTTATTTTTCTCAATTTTCTTTATCTGAGGGTACTTTTGATAATTTAAAGGTTAATATTGCTAAGAAAAAGTAAGAGTTTGTGTATTAAATCTAATTTAAAAGTTTTTAAATTTGATGTGATGAAAAATTAAAGGTATATTTTTTAAATTAATTTAAAATATATGGTATAAGAATGTAAATATCTCATTAAAATAAATAAATAAAAATCCAGAAAGTTTGGAAGACCAAATTGTGCGTAAGGTTACGTCGTCGACCTCCCCAGAATCTCACCGCAGAGACTCGGTCTTGTATTGCATTGCCGCCAAGTTGTATTGACTAGTGGGAATCCAAGTCAATAACAACATTTGGCCCCAATGAATGGCCAATTTGAAATGAATTCCCTAATTAATTGCGACCTTTATACTAATTCAACACTTTCTCTTAACCTACTAAATAGCCGGCATAAAAAAATCAACGCCATTATTGATACAATCAATCAGCATTCAATTGGTTTAAACTCTTAGATTAAACGGACGGGGGAGTGTTTAATTTTTTTTAATTAAAAGAAACTAACCCGTTGGATTTTCATTAGGCATTAGTCCATCGTTCACTACCAAGAGTTTTGAAAAATATAAACATGAGAAAAGAGAAAGGAAAAAAGCCAGAGCTCTCATTGACTAGAAGATCAGACTCAAAATCAAGAAAAGGCAAAACGTCAAACAACAAGTTATATATGATTGGCTCCAAGGAATAAACAACGTTCTCGGACCATTCCTCAGCGGATTGGCCCGTGGTCAGCTCAAGCCTACCGTCGTCGACTCCTAAAAAGTCTGTAAAAAAAAAAAATCCTAAAAAGTCAAGTCCCATTAATCTCTTGCTCTAGAAACTATACGACGCGGAAAATATAATAGGGAAACTTATTAACACAGTAGGACCCACCAAGTTAGAGAGAGAAACGGGAAACTTCCCAAATTTTCACACGTTAAAAAAGCCCTAACCCAGTTTCGACCTCGTTTCCCTTGAACCAGTACTACCCTATTAATTCTCTTGCCTTTCTTTTGTCAAACCATAATTGTTTTTTCATTGTTTTTCTTTCTTTTCATCTTTGTATCTCTCTCGGCTTATGTCTGAGAGGCTCAGCGTTCCCCACTCTTCCTCTATCGCCTTGGACCTCCATTCCCATCTCCTGGTTTCCAGTGAGATGAACCCTAATTCTAACTGGTCTCATTAGAATTCTCTCAGATTCATATCTTTGTTATTCTTTTCATTCTTGTTTGTTTCCCGAGATAATATAATCAGAAAATCATGACTCTTAAGGGATTTGTCGAAGGAGGAATTGCCTCCATTGTTGCCGGTTGTTCCACCCACCCGCTGGATCTCATCAAGGTCCGAATGCAGCTCCAAGGCGAATCTCTCGCCCCAAATTCTAACCCTAATTCCGCCGTCCAAACTCTCCGACCCGCTCTCGCCTTTCAATCAACTCATATTGCAGCTCCAAGATCTGTTAATGTTCCACCACCTCCACAGCCTCGCGTGGGTCCAATCGCTGTTGGAGTAAGAATCGTACAGCAGGAAGGCGTCGCGGCGTTGTACTCCGGCGTCTCCGCCACCGTCCTCCGTCAAACGCTCTACTCGACCACAAGGATGGGACTCTATGACGCGATCAAGCAGAAGTGGACCGATCCCGTCTCCGGCAACATGCCGCTGACGAGGAAGATCACGGCGGGGCTCATCGCCGGAGCCGTTGGCGCCGCCGTCGGGAATCCCGCCGATGTCGCGATGGTCAGAATGCAGGCTGACGGGAGGCTCCCGCAGGCGCAGCGCCGGAACTACAAGAGCGTGGTCGACGCCATAGCCAGAATGGCGAGGCAGGAAGGGATCGGAAGCCTCTGGAGAGGCTCGTCCCTTACGGTGAACCGTGCGATGCTTGTGACGGCGTCGCAGCTGGCGTCGTACGACCAGATCAAGGAGACGATTCTGGAGAAAGGAATCATGAGGGACGGACTGGGGACACACGTGGCGGCGAGTTTCTCGGCGGGATTTGTGGCGGCGGTTGCGTCGAACCCGGTCGACGTGATCAAGACGCGCGTGATGAACATGAAGGTAGAGCCGGGGATGGCGCCGCCGTACGCCGGCGCGTTGGATTGCGCGGTCAAGACGGTGCGGGCCGAGGGGCCCATGTCGCTCTACAAGGGCTTCGTGCCGACGATCTCGAGGCAGGGGCCTTTCACCGTCGTGCTTTTCGTGACGCTGGAGCAGGTGAGGAAGTTGATGAAGGATTTCTGAGATCTTGATCATGATGATGACGAAGAGTGTTTTAGAATATTATTAGATAAATAGTAATATTAGACGTTTTCCTCAAGTGTTGGGAAAGGAATTTCCGGGGAATAATAAGTTAAAACAATTCAAGCAAAAAAAAAAAAAAAGAAGTTAAAACAATGTGGGAAACAGCGTTGTAATCTGTGTCAGCTCGTGGCTAAATTAATTATGTCTTTTTACATGTGTTTGATTATTATTTTCCTGCAAATCTGATGATTCTTTTTTTTTTTTTTTTTTTTTTAAATGTGTTTGATTATTATTTTTCTGCAAATTTGGTCCTTTGTTCTTGAGTAATTAGTTCATCCATTGGCTGAGAATTTTATAATAAAGTTTGAAATATATAATATTTGTAAGGTTTTGTTTTGAACCATTAAATATACAGTTAAATTTACGTATTTTTTTATTGATGAGATTTTTAATTCGATAAAATAACCTTAGATACAAAGTTACTTGATTTGTATGAAAGTAAGTAATTACATAATTGGTAGCACAACTGTGAAAGAACTTATGTTTGCCTCTGTCTCCTAGTTCAATGTAATGGTGTGAACAGATGAACTTTGGTGGCGAAAGTTCTACTCTTCTAGAGTCAAAAACCCGCCGCTTTGCTTAGTGCCAGACTTTTGGGAAAGAGACCAAAGGCTATTATTTCGGTCACATAAATGTATCCAAAAGAGAACTTTTGTTTGCAAACTTTGACAAATTATTTTTAATTCTGAAATCTGAATTAGGAGACTGTAATGCCTTAACAGCTCAGTTCATCACCATTTGATTTAAATCATATCTCCAGTTATTATTATCTCAAATGATATCTAACTAATTAAATTATGCAACATTTTCTGATGAACTCAAAACATTAAAAAACATTTTAAAATTTTTAATTAACGTGTTATATAATATGATTGGTTAAACACCGTTTATGACATTAAAGTTGGGCAGATGATCTGAGTGCATCACCATTAAAATTTGATCAAGTGAAATTATATATATTTATATTAGACTATATACATATATCAAGGTTTCTATATTATTGTTTTTATTTTTATTTTTTGTATTTAATAATTAATCATCTTGCCGCCGTAAGATGACTAGAAAATAAAATAATCCCTAGTCTTACCAAAAGATAAGTCAGAAATTCTTTCCTTTAATGTTAACCAAGATTTCATGTCATCTCCCCTTCAAAAGCGGGTACCCTTTGGCCCTTAAGCTCCTCTTGAGGTTCAATTGTCTCACGTTGTCAAGTTGATCTATACATGGCCAACCAGGCAGAAAAGGAGTTTCAGTTGCATCCATGGGTTGGCAAAAGCAGGTTTGGTTCGAATCAATGAACGTCCAATTAAAGACGTCGGTTTTGGTTTGGATGCCTTTTTTTTTCCTTTTGTAAGGCTGGACCACTAGAAAATGGTGAACACATCAGCAGTTACTAGTGGAAAACATAAACAAGAATCAGAACTACAAAAATGTGAAAAATCAAAGAGACAAAAGCAACACCAAACTTTTTGATAAATCACTTCATCCTGATGCGGTTAAAACTTAAGGTCTGTTCTTTTAGAGTGTGACTTGAGTGTAGTTTTTAAGTTGAATTTGAGTTATAACTTGAGTTGAAGTTGTAACTTGAATAAAGTTGAGTAAAATTGAATAAAATTATAATTTAAAAGAACGTGAACTTGAATAAAGTTGTAACTTGAGTTTAGATTTTTTCTGAGTTTTATTGCAAAAAAAACAACCCCTTAGCTACTCACAAAAAATGAGCCCCTTTCCCGCTAAGTCAGTATGTGAGACTCAACTTAGTAGAACTCACTATTTTGTGAGTAATAGAATTTTACCCATTAGGGATAAATACCATTTTTGTATTTGATATTTTAGCCAAAAAGCTGAATAGCCACATTGCTACAGAAATGCAGAAGGTGATAGAATTCAAGGGTACATAATGGTCATAGTGTCGTTGATCTTTTCCATGGCACTCCAATAGGTTGTAGATTCTGATTGTCGTTTTCAGGAAATTTTTATTTTCAATAAGCAGTGAAAATTAATCAGCTAGCCCGCACCAACAGTGCATGTTGCGTGGGAATTAAAAAAAGAAAGGAATTCGAGGTCATATGCCTCATGAGGCCGTGATTAGTGGCACATATTCTAGTTTTTATTATGCTGTGAGGCAATGAGTGGCCTGTGAGTTACTTTCATATGATATGTGCGTAGTGCACAAGTCTGATTTTTATACTTGAAATTCACTTATAGAAATTTAGTTGTTCTAATATTATTAAAATATAAAGTTTTAGCTGATTGGGTACTCGTTAATAAATTGTCCACTTTCAGACGGAAACTAATATTAGAATGACATGAGAGGGTTTTAGAAGAGATAAAACTATTAAAAAAAAAAAAAACTATATTTAAAAAAATCTATAAAGAAAAAACCTTTGAAATAAAATAAAAAAATTGTCCTCTAATCTAAATCTTTTATTTCTTTCTAGAATGATTCTTCAAAATTTGCTTCTTTTTTTTTCTTGCTTATCATTTCACTCCTCTTAAAACCGCATCATGTCCTTGATGTGTCATAATTTGTTTGAAGAGAGACGATCTTTTAATAGATGGATCAAAACTCTATACTTTTAATAAGCAAAATAAATGAATGCCCCAAAAGACACAGAAACACAAGCCAATATACATCTTCAAATGCCATTCATGTAAATAAACCGTGCCCGTGGCCCGTTGATTAAGCACATGTTCTTGTTTGTGCAATGCTATTAGATATCACTAGTACTCAACACCACTTATTAATAGAATATGAATCTCATGAGACTTATAAATAATGAGAGATAATCTTGATAAACACTTCTTGAAAGTGCACGTGTTAAGATTTTTACCTTTTACTTTTAATTCGTATCTTTTTTAGTTAAATAATTACACTAATAAAAAAGTATTTATTAAAAATAAAAGATAAAAATTTACTCATGTACCCTCAAAAATAAATTATATATTTTTTTCATTTATACCGTTACCTCTTACTACTTATTGGTGGTGACATTGGTACCTCTTTAAGTATTTTTTCTTCTTATTTATTTCCCTGGCTTTAAGAAGATCTTTAGTAATAAAAAAGAAAAATTGTTGGAACAATAATATACTATTATTCCTATCGTATCTCGTACATGGTGCACATGGACATGCCCAAATACACCAAGCTAGGAATTGCTTGCATTTGCGTGTGGGGGTCTTCACATCTTTTTTGTGTTGATTTACTCTAAGAAGGATGCTATAGGGCTCATTCAAGGCATAATAATTCTTTTCTTCACCGTCACAAAGGAATGGTCATTGCATTATTGTTCATTAGAAAAAGATCCGACATTGCTCCTAGAATGAATATTGTTTTAGTGGTGAGATTGAAGGTGGACCGTACACGTGGTTGACATAGGTGTCTAGTGGAATCGAGTGACACATTCACTGGATTTAGATATTTTCTTTTGTCGGAGGATGCTATGGCACAATATTTGATGTGTCTCCTGGTAGATAATCCACGCTAAGTGGATCTTTTCTTCTACTATAGGTATCCTCCTTTGTAATTACATGTTTTGAACTATAGATCATGTCTGTTATTTTTTTTTTTTTTTTTTTTGGGATCTGGTCAAATTTACATGAAAGGAAGAAAAAAGATTATTTTTATATTTACTCTCGATCTGTCACTTACCATTCATTTCACTGATATTAGTTTAGAATTCGAGTTTTACTACAGTAAAAAGCTGTCACAAACAATCACATCTAACTTTTTTACTATAATAAAAAACTCTCACATAAAATCACATCTCAACTCAAATTAAAAACTTAAATTAGCGAACTAAACGGGCCCTTAAATACTCCCTAACCCTATTCTCTCAAACTTTATTCTGTTAGTAATTAACCCCTTCCATTCATTTCCGTTAGTTTTTGAGAATAACTCCGCAGATCATTTTATATATATATATATATATATATATATATATTTTTTTTTTTTTCAAACTGTTTCACTTTTTTT